ACTGCAGCCTCAAATTCCTGGCTCAAGGGATCCTCCCACCTCAGTCTCCTGAGTAGCTATGACTAAAGGTATATATCACCACACCTGGCTAATTTTTTTATTTTTATTTTTGTAAATATGGGGCCTATGTTTCCCAGGCTGGTCTCAAATTACTGGCCTCAAGTGATCCTCCCATCTTGGTCTCCCAAAGTGCTGGGATCACAGGCATGAGCCACCAAGCTTGACAGATTCATTTTAATTATTCTCTAAAACTCAGAAAATATTTACTCCTGGGAGTAAATTAGAGTCAGGTGGATACACTATCATGAAATATAAATGTAACTCTGTGGAATATGTGACAGATATGAAATAAATTATGTTGATAAATCAAGTCTTATAGACATCTAAAGCTCTGGAAGTGATGGCAATCCAGGAGTGTAAAAGTGACCCTCAGCATTTGGTCTTCTTTTCTGAGGGCTAAAGAGCCAGGCAGGTCCACCAGCTTCTCTGTCTTGGGCTGGGTTTTATAGTCTGTGCTATCACCTTTTATCCCATTAGCTCAGGCTGCTTTAGCAGGCACTAGGTCCTTTTAGATCTGCTACTCAAATGTGGGCCCTGCACCGATAAAGACTGAAGAGAGAGGAGATAAAGGACCCCTACCTCATCTCTAAATAGCCAATTTTCCTCCTGAGAGAAGACTCAATCTCTGTTAACACTCCTGTGGAGGACAATGTTGTTCAGTTGACGTTAGATGAAAACCCAAAACCCCATGATTATTTTCTGGACTAAGGACTTTGTGTCCCAACTGACATCTAGATATCTTCCCAGGTGCTTTCTATCTCCACAGCTTCACCCACATCTCTCTTGGCCATTCATTAGCTAAAACAAAGACAGATAAGAATTACTCATGATGTTTTCTTTATTCTAGACACTTTAACAATTTTTTTAATGTATTAACTTTAATGAGGTATAATTTATAGACAATAAAATGCACCCAATTAAATCATAGAGTTCAATGAGTTTTAACAAATACACATATCTGGGTAACCATCACCACAATCAAGATATCAAATTTTCAAACATTTCTATCACCATGAAAGGTTCCCTTGTGCCCTTTTGGAGTCAATTTCCACGAATTCAACCCCCAGGCAACCACTGGCCTCGTTTCTATCACCATAGATAAGTACTACCATTTCTAGAACTTCATAGAAATGGAATCATCAGTATGAACTCTTGTGTGAGGTTTCTGTCACTTCGTATAATGTTTGTTGAATTTATTCACATTGTGTGTACTGGTAGTCTGTTCCATTGCATTGCCAAGCAGTACACATTGCATGGACAGAATACAAGTTTGTTTATCCATTCACCTGTTGATGGACACTTGACTTGTCTCATATTTTTAGTACTTATGAACAAAACTGCTAAGAACATTTGTGTACAGATCTTCTTATAGACATGCTTTCATTTCTTTCAGGTAACTATCTAAAAGTGGAATTGCTGAGAGAGTAGAGGTTTTCTTTTTTAAAATTAAAATAATAAAAATATATCACATTTAACAGAGTTCAATTCACCTTATTTCGACTTGAATATTTAAAAGGAAGAGGTTACACCATAAGTCAGAGTAGCCCACAACTGAAAAGGGCATGTGAAGTTCCTACAGGCAAAGTACCACCCCCTCGAGGTCCGAACTTTCTCTAGCGCTGAGAAGGCTCAGGACTTACTCAAGGAGTGGCTGAAGGAGAAATTAAGAGATGACAGCTGGTCAGGCTATGGGCAGGCAGCCATGGCCTTATTTCACTGCAGTCTCCACATCTGAATGGCTCCCGTAGGGATGGGGAACCTGAGGCCTCAAGGCCACATGTGGCATTCCAGATCCCCCAGTACAGCCTCTCAACCAAATCCAAACTTCACAGAAAAAATCCCTTTATTAATCCCTTTATTAAAAGGATTCGTTCTATAAAATTTGGATTCAGTCAAAAGGCTGTACTCAAGGATCTAGAAGACCACGTTAGTCCCAAAGCCTCAGGTTCTACACGCCCACACGGCGGGGAACTCAGCTGTGAGTTGCTAAAAATAAGGAAGTGCCTAGTAAAACTTAATGTATAAGAGATCATCAGCATTAAATATAAGGAGCTAAATAGTGATAATTTCTTTAACATTCCACTTGTACTTTCTCATTTGATCATAATGGTTACCCTTGACTTTAGCTAGATTCAATCAGCTATATGCGTATCAAATGTAAATAATAAGTCTTATCCTATCTTTTTTCTCTGCAACTAACTCCTCACACCCCAGAGGGTATTTTCCAATTCAACATCAAAGACTGATTAAACATTTCATGTAGGAGATTTGAAAAGATGACTGTGTAATTTTATTTTACATATACATGACAGATAAAAAATTAACAAAAACTTCCTCTGGGTACTGAAAGTTTGGAGCTGGATCTTCTAAAAGGCAAAGAGCATTGGGAAAATAATTAACCACTTCAGTGTTCATCAACAAATTGAAGTCTTATGACCCAAAATTTTATAATTAAGCTATGTTATCACTAATCATTTTGTAGTTGCCCATCATTCTAATAATTTATCAAAGCCAAAGGTTTGCATTTTCATAGTTCTAAGTCTCCCTTTTCGGTTTAATATTTAAGAAAGACAGCATTTAGAAAATATGAATTTGTAAAGAGAAAGAAAATAAGGGAAGTGTCTAAAGTATTTTACAAAACATCTGGTCTACGTAAAACTACCATGTGTGAGGTTTTTTCCATCTTACAGCTTATTATGGAAACCTAAGTAATGTTTCCTTATAGCAGGAATGAGGTGGTCAAAGGAGTAGAATTGCCCACTTCCAGTTTGGCTGGTAAATCAATACACTGCCTACCATATTGAAACCTCCATGACAAAAGACAAAACGAGAAGTAAGGAAGATACCAGTTTGAGTCTACAGCAGCTGGAACCTGTGGTTAGGGCTAGCTTAGGAGTAATTTGGCTGTTACAATTCACAAAAATTAGCACAGAGACATAACAAAGACTCTCTGCCATTTGAAAGCGCAATTCACTTGACATGATTGTCTTTGTCTTACAAGCCTATTGCTCCTGCCCACCACTTCCAGATACATACACTTTGGGGGATGTAGAAAGGGTGCCAGACTAGAAAGCAAGAGCTCTGGGGTCCTTGAGCAAATTACTTAATGTCTTTGGCTTCTCACCTATGAAATACAACAATAAGTACTTTTCCTATTTGAAGCCAGGAGCTGGGCCCAGACTTCTTGGTCTAGATCACCCATTCAATATCCTATCCTGGGGCTTCCTATTTATACATAGTGATGGCTCTGTCCTATAGCAGAGCACAAGCCACACATATCAGGTACTACACAATGGGCTTTCTCAGTTTTCCATTCTTAGAAAGAAAGCCCCATGGGATATTGCTATGCTTCCAAATTTTACTTTTGGAAACTAACAAATAATACATTAAAAAATAAATAGGTCTAAGGCACAAATCCATCTGATACACACGTGTTTGTCAATGACGTCTGTTCCACGATGGCTTCCACAGCACCATTTCAAAAGCTGGCAAATGCCAACCTAAAGAGCTTCAGGTGCTAGTCTCCATACAGCTGAAGGAGGCAGCACAAGCTCTAGAAGCTCTATCAGGGAGACTTCAACTGCAAATTTGGGCTGAGGTAACCAGACAATCTGAGCTTCACTACCTTAATTCTCACTTTGAAAAGAGAACCATTTACTGCCAAAGAGAGTTACTACATCATTGTGCAGCCATGAGGATGCACCTCGCAGACTTCCCACTGTAGGGAGCACAATTGGCCAAAGATCCCAGCTGCCATGCTCTGAAATCCATCCCTACATTATTTCAGAGGCTACTATGCCTCCCCATGGGCCACTGCTGGAGCACAGCAGGGATAGGAAGGCAGGCCTTTGATGGCTGACTTTGCTTGAGGACTTGCTGATGCCCTTGCTACCTCTGACTACACAGCAGACTAGTGCACTCCCACCAAGCCTCTCTTTTCACTTGGAATAAGACTTTAATCATGGTCTAACAGTTCACCCCACCTTTTCTAACTCCTTCCCTATTTCCTTTCACATGGGAATATTCCCTAAAAATAACCTTGCCATTTTTCATCCCATCTTGGTGTCTGCTTCTCAGAGGTCCAGACTCACATATCATTCATTCATTTATTCATCCACTCATTCATTCATTCAAGAAGAATTTCTTGAGTGCCTATAATGTTCCTGGCATTTTGTTCTAGGCCCTGTGGAGCCTGGTGAACGTGACTGAGCAGGTCCCCACACTCATAACCCTTCCCTGCCCGAAGTATCCTAACTCTTCTCCTTCCTCAGTGATGACTGTGTGCCGGACACTGAGTTAAGAGCAATCCACATGCCTAGTCTCATCTGCTCTTCGTAACAACCATGAAAGGAGGTATTATTATTCTTGTTTCATGACAAAACTGAGACCTAGAGAGATTATGTTGCCAGGGGCTTCCCTAATACAGCCAAATTTTTTTTACTCTAAAACTCATACTTTTAACCAGTAAGCTATGGTGTATATACTCCATTTAGATAACAGCGCTGAGCTCTTTCTTTTCTGGTAATGCCTGCACATTTGAATAGTTGATTTTCCAAAGCCTGGCTTCATTTCTTCAATTTAAATTTATGAAGGCCAGGGGAAAAGGGAAACATGGCACTTCAGAGCATTCAGAGTTCTACACTATTCTGAAGTCAGGTTAATGACAACATTGTTTAACACACCCAGAAGAGGTAGGTCCCTCAACTGGTATGAGTTTCCAACCGAACCTCACTCTTACAAAGAAGATAGAGAGGACAGAAAAACTCTTGGCTTCTCTGCTTTCCATCCTGTTTACTACTCAGCCCTGAAAAACCAATGGCAGGTGATCATATACACCCAGGGCTTCTCTCAGAGGCCAGCCAGGCCCAACTGCAGAGCCAGCCACACCAACTCATGTAGCACCTGAGAGCACCCTTCTAAAAACTGATGTAAACACATACCATGATGTCCAAGGTCAGCTGTAGTGTCCTCTACACTTGATTCAAGTTCACTGAGGTTCAGAAAAGGAATAGGCTGAGACTCAGGCAGGTTCTCTGAAGTTGGTTCATCAAATTCCTTGTGGAAGGTAATTAACAATTCATGAGAAGCTGATAGAAGGAAATACTAATAGCGCTACCACAAATGAAACAATATTCTTATTTAAAAGATTATTTGGAAAGAAGTCTACCTAATCTCTTCTCTTAAATGTGATACCATTTTCAAACTTTAGAAAGGTAACTTGGGATTAGAGACACAGCCCTGAATCAACAAGCCAGATGACCTTGGGCAAAGCATTTAACCTCCATGGGCCTCAGTTTCAGGGCCATGACTAGGTGAGTCAAGTGGGATACCCAGGGTACAAAGCTGAAGGTACTCACTTTGTCAGCAGCTGAGAGTGAGCATCTCCTTTGATTCTGCACCCAGGGTATCCCACTTACCTTACCCTACTCAAGTCCTTCTTATTTTTCTCATCTCAAAATTAAAGGTATTGGCTTGAATAACTTCCAAGTTCTCTTCTAGCTTTAAAAGTTCTATGATTCTATGAATTCCAATTTCCTAAAAGAATAAGATCTAGGAGAGCACATCATGAAAGAATTCACGCTTCAAAAAACTAAAAGGTAAACTTCCCAAATCGAGGTATTTCAATAAATCATTTTTCTTTTTTCCTCCAGTTTTTTGTATATATTTATGTGTGTGTCTGTGTGTATGTATATTTGTGTTTGCAACCCAGAGCTGATGCTGAATTGACCTATTTTCCTTGATAAATGGCTTTCATGGGGAACTATTCCAAGTATGTCTTCTTATTAAAAAGGAAATTAAAAGGAACGTTCAAAGTAATCTTAAATGAATAAGTAAAATACAGCCATGCCTCACTGCAGTACAGGATTTGTGAGAATATCATCATAAAGTGTTTTTAAGAAGTCCATTTTCTGTACTGTGTAATAATTGCTTTAGGAGGTAAAATTGGTTCCAAATTTCAAAGGATCACTGATGGCACACAGAGGACTTCAAGGACAAAGAAAAGAGACTGCATGAAAAGCATCTCTATGTGTACTTCAGAAATTATTTGAAAATAAGTATGTATTTAGACTCTCAATTGACTTTTATTTGCTGAGGATCTCTTTGAAGTGAACAGATAGAATTGTTATAATTGCTTCTCTTAGAGAAGGACTTGATCTGATCTTTGATCCCTGTTACCACTCTATGTATGGAGACTTGATCTGCTATGTACTTTTCACAGAGACCCAATTCTAACATCACCATAACTGTATATGCCACAGGATAAAAGACAGACTGGACCTGTCTTATGTATTATGGCATCCAGTTGTTTTTAAGCTGCCATCCTTTAAAGAAATCATGTCTAATATGATTCCACATTCAACTGTGCTTCAAAATTTCAAAGCCCAAAGTCAGCCAAGCAGAAAATGCCTGCCAAAATACAAGGCCTTGTCAGTTGGGGTCTGAAAAGCAAAGGAAGGCACTTTTCTAAATGCCTCAAAGAATTTTATGACATGTTTAAGAGGTGCCATAGAAGCCATTCTCTCCCCTAACTCTGATTCTCTCCTACAACTGTTTTTGAAATATAAAGTAGTTTGCCTCAGCTAGGCAAGAGAGAAGGAAGAAGGAATAGTGAATGGAGCCCCAATGAGACCTAGGAAGAAATTAAACCTTAAATATGTGTATGGGCAAGGGGAAGGAAAGCACCCAAATATGGGAGCATTTTCCTTTTCCTTCCTCTTCTTTATTATGTTTTTCTTTAGCTTCTTGCATCTGATTAATCCAATTTCTTTCTTATATTTTATTTCATCTTTTTTGACTCAATGAAAACTTTCCCTGAGATGTTTAAAACCCTTCAGGACCCTCTGCAAAGTGTTCAGCTCCCTGTTTTCTTCTCCTTTATTCTCCGAATATCATTAAACCTGTCTCACTCTTGTGCTTGTGAATATAATTAAACTTGACTCTTCCCTGCCTGGCTACCTCTCTTCATCCTCCTCCTGGGGTGAACAAGAAAGTCTTCCCTCAGGTTGCTGCACCTTTTCTTCCATTCCTATTAAATGTTTTTATTCCTAAAGAGATTATAAGAAGGTCTGTTCATTGGTGGCTTTTCCAGGTCTTCTTTCATCTGGAGGTGAACTGCTCCTTTCAGGAGGCCCACTTCCTATCCATTATTAATCAGCATGTGGATCTGGACCATGGGAATAGCAGGGAGCTTGTTAGAAATGCAACATCCCAGGCTCCAACCTAAACCAACTGACTCAGAATCTGCATTTTAACAGGATCCACAGGTGAATGTCCATGTTAACAAGATCCATAGGTGACTCAGGCATGTTTCAAGGTTGGAGGGGCACTGCTACAAACCATAAGAATTTAGAGGAGGGCCTGCTGACTGTGAATCCTTGAGGTCAGAGGTTTTTACAAAGAGGTAGCAACATTTAAAAGAAAGAAGTGAGTTGCTGACAGTGGGCCGGAGGGAAATGGTTGATGCAATTGCACAACAGAGGTGAGTGAGGGTGCTGAGCCTAGGCCACCCTGCCTGTAGGCCTGAACCAGCTGGGAAGAGGACTCGGTCTTCAAGCAGAACAGATTCAAAGGCCATGTATCTGCCTGGAGTATTCTTTTCCCCCATCAGTATACAAATGTAGGAAATAGGCTTCTGGAAAGCTCAGGACCAAAGACGTTGGTGGCACTAAACCTTAGAAGATCAAAGAATGAAGCAAGGTCTCTCACTAGTAAAGCATCAGGCACTTCCCGTCTTGCTCCCTTTGATCTTTGCTGATGAAAAGGGGATGGAATTGGGAAGTCACTAGGGAAGTTATGAGTGGGGAGTTCTTAGGATCCTTGTGAAATCTGCTCTTTCTTCATCTAAATTGGGCCAAGATCAGGACTTTTTATCTGGCTTCCATATTCTGTGCGACAACACACAGATAACAGAATCCTCTGAGATTCTGCCTGCCATCTGGCCTCAGACTTACCTTCAGCTACTTCAGGCCCCTCAGAGGACCCTGATTTAAAGGAGGAGGGAGGGCCTCATATGCCATAGTCATAACACTGATAATAATTATAACAGAAATAAAAGAGAACACGAAAATGATTATCTTTAAGTGTCAAAGAAGAAAAGCAAAGAAGTTAAGTAAATTATCAGACACTACAATTTAAGATCATACTTGAAATTATACTTTTATTTGCCATATGGTAACTTCAAGAATAAAGAACATCATTTAGGTTTTATAAAACAAAATATTACCATATCTATATTTCTCAGTTTCCAATCTTAGAGGGATAGTCCTTAGAGTCAGGGGTCTCTGAGCATTCCAGAAAAATGTGCCCTGTTTTCTATCACTGATTAGACAAACACACATATCAACAACGTCAGAGCTCTTATAATCCTGTAAGACTCCTTGTCAGGATCTGTGGGAATGTGCAGTTCTCAGCCCTGTGGGGACAAAGCAGACTAAGCCAGGGAAGAAGGCCCACCTTCACAGGCTATCATTTGTGGGGCCTAGAAAGCATTTGGGGAGCTAAAGAAAGGCTCCCCATTTTCAGAGAGGCCTTGGGTCCTTTCACCGTGCTGGCATCAAGACCCTCCCCTGAGGAGGGGTCCGGCTCTGGGGCTGATCCCATGGCCTTTCAGTCAGCAATTTCTTCACTCACCAGGTTCCATGAGCAGGAAAGATCCCATCTCCCAAGCTTCTGAGGCCTGCAATAGATCCCACAGCTGGCTTCACTTAATGGGGGTGGCATATGGGTGGGAAAAGGGGGACTGGATTGAGTACATATTGCCAGCATCCCCACATTGTCTGCTAACTGGTCCAACAAACAGAGGGAGATTCTTAAGGTCAGAGGAGGCTAAGCCTCTGATCCAACTTGGGATTTGTAGAACTCTATAGCATCCAGAACCCCTAAATAATTGAGAACGGCAGATCACTGACAGCTCTCCCCCTCAGAGAATGGCAGAAAACAAGTGTTCCTAGGCCCTGCCTGGCTAACAGTGACCTCTTCTGAGGGCTCCTGCAAGCCCCAGGCTTTAGAGCCCTCTGATGACTAAGCTACAATAGAATTAGCATCCCTGAGGTTCAGGGAATTGTCTCCACAGCTTCAGGGGGTTTAGTTCTTCCTCCTCAAGAAGACATTCTCTCTTAGATGCAGGGATCTTCAATTAATGAACAACCAGAATGAAGGCAGTAAAAGTTCTCCATAAAAATGACTCCATCCCAAGTTGCTTTTGCCAGAAGAGCTATGAAGTTGGTGTTGATGTCCACTGCCCAAATATGACCCCGTAAAGACCACCTCAAGTATGAGAGCCTACCTCAAGGCCTATGGAAATATTTCCAACCATTAGAAAAAGATGTTATTTGCTATTCACAAATTTGGAATACAGAGGACAGGAATTTGGGCTCCATTTTGTGTGAATCTGCAACTCTATTTGGTATTGGACATCTATGGCAGTTCTTCAAAGTTTGAATGAGGTTATTGACAAAATGCACAATGATATGGGTGGGAGACAGAAAATAAAAAGGAAAAGAATAAAAAATAGACAAAGAGAACAATGGACAATGTAAACAACAATAGGATGGGTGGAATTAGAAATTAGATATGCAAACATTTGTTCTGCCAATTAATTATTTTGACCCATCAACTGTGCATTCAGTGCCCATTCAATTATCCTATGCACAGTAGATACTTTTTTGTTGGATGAATCAATTGATCAATCTCTAGCTATAACCTCTTTGAATTAGTGTTGTTACCAACTGTTGACCTGCATTCTGGAATCCTCTCTGGAATTGGACAAAGTTGGTCGGAATACTTTTGTTTTCTACCCTGTCCCTTTTCCTACCCACCTGGTCCCATGAACCTGAAGAATCTGAAGCAAGAAAAGGTTTTATGTAAAATTTAAAATAAGAGGGTACTTACATGGAGTACATCAACATTCAGCTGCTGAAAATTCCGAGATCTCAATTCTTGCATTCGTTTGTTATTCTCTTCATATTTTTCTTCCACAATCTTTCTGTAAATTTAAAGTGAATCCAGAAAAATAACTGTGAATTGCTAAAATCATATCTATATTATACAGATAAGTGTGGTCCCTGTTTCATCAGGCAGACTGGGGTGTTGGGAAGCCAGGCCATCAGGTCTCTCCCTCATCAAGGTATATGCAGTGCAGCACCGAGTTCATTTCCTTTTAAAGCACACACAAGGATGCTCTGGCTCCTTATTCATCTTTATAAATCCTAAAATGCAGCAGAAAGAGAAGACAGTACTTATCCTTGTGTGTTCTCTGAGTGTGATGGTGAGGGTGTGAGTCCCTAATACCAGCATGGTTCCTAACACATGCTTATAACTTGAAAACTACCTTCAGGGTGAACAAACACATAGACAAGGAAAAACAGAACTACATATCAAAGAATTTGTGGGAATATATTTGGGAGTCATTGTGCAGGGAAATTTTTCTGCAGACACATTTTGTTTTCTCTGCTACAGTAAAGTTGAGTTTAATAAACCTGCTACTAAACTGGAAGAAAGATTTGAGTTCTTATGAACTCAAATTATATGCCAATTTAGATTTAGAATTTTTGAAAAGTCACTGAACATTCTTCTAGTCAAATTCTCCTGTCTATAAAATGGGTACATTATAACCCTTCTGATAATAGCATTATTTTCTAGTTAAAACACATGATCCCCTTTGAATTCTAAAAATGACTGTCAGAAACAGTTCCAATTCATTCATAAAATCAAGACTAAACTTTATTTAAAACATTGACTTTAAATAAGAAAAATATTAGTGTGTCATGTTGAAGAGCTATGACTTTTTTTGTACTCGAAATACAGTTTCAATCTGAATAATAATTTATAATATGCCTGTAAATATTAAATTTGCCTTTTAAATTTGTTCCTATCAGAGATTTAATTTTCCTTTTACCCTCAACCAATGACACGAATCATGGCACTTTGGAAATATTGCCATTTCCAAGGTTTTAGAAACAGATTTGGGACTGTGAATTGATGCAATGGCTCAAACAATTTATGTGAAAATATTAATACTTTCCCAGTAACTCCCACACTCAAGGTTATAGTGGTTTGCAGAAACCCACTTATATTGGCTCCCAAGAGCAGATTGTGTACATATCTTCCCAAATGAACATTAAATGATATCCTGATAGAGCAGGAGACTAGGAGATAGGGCTGAGACTGGATACGGGGCTTGAAGGTCAGGTGCAGATGTTTAAGTAAACAACTCTCAAACAAAAGCTAACTAGATGGGCTGATAACCTCAGTCAAGAATGGGCTTCAACTGGCTTGTCAGCTATCTCTGCCACCTTACATGAACTTTGGCTAATTACAGTATCATTTACATTGTGGTTTTAAAGTTTTCCTGCTCTTAAAATCACAGGACAGTTCTGAGACAACCATATCAAGTACGAAAATGGGAGGGAACCCAATTCTAGGAATTACTACCCAAATTCTTAGTAAAAGCCAATCCCTTGGCCTTGAATATTCTTCCCATCTATTAGTAAGACTAGAAAAGATCTAAGACCACTTCCTCTCAGTGCAGCTGCTCTTTTCGAGCCTGCCTGCTTTCTTTCCTGAGAGTATACTTTTGCTTTCAATAGAGCTTTCACTTGCTTGGCTTACATAGGGTGTCCTGAAATTCTTTTTCGTGATGGACACCAAGTACTTGGAAAAATCTCCACTTGGAGGCCAATAACAATATTAGTAGCTTGAAATTGGCCATGGTGGGAGTATTTGTATTACAGAAATCAGTAAACAAATCAGCAGTCTCCTTCAAACCCAGAGCTGGTTATTAAACATTTACCAGCACACCACTGCCCATGATGTACTTAGATGGAACTGTTTTTCTAAATTTACTAAAGAAAGTATTTGTTAAGGGAAAATATTCTCACAGATTCTTACTTGGTTCATCGTGATATTCATTCTAAGTACAAGGACACCTCTAAATCATTTTTCAAATATGTTAACAAGGTCATAAAATGAACAGATTTGCATTTCAGATCTTTTCTGCCTCTCCATTTCTTGGTTGGAGTTTCTAAACTACCACAAAGTTGGCAGGGAAAAAAAAAGAAGAAAAATTAGGAAATTGGATCATCTACCAACTGATAAACCAGTCATTGAGAAACTGAGAATCTAGGGCTCTATGAAATTCCATTTTTATACATGTATCTTTTTCTTTGGCTTTATTAAAGTTTAATTGACAAAAATTGTTTACATTTATGGTGTACAATGTGATATTTTGACATAGTATGCACTGTGAAGTGATTAAATCAAGCTAATAAACATCCATCACTTCAAATATTTTGTGTGTGTGTGGTGAGAATATTTAAGATCTACTCTCTTAGCAACTTTCAAATATGTAACAATTATTAACTATAGTCACCATGCTGTACAATAGATCTCCAGAACTTATACCTCCTGTCTGACTGAGGCTTTGTATCCTTTGACCAACATCTTGCACTCCAGGCCCTCCTACCCCTGGTAACCACCATCCTACTCTCCACTTTTATGAGTGACTTTTTTTAGGTTCCACATTTAAGTGAGATCATGTAGTATTTGTCTTTCTATGACTGGCTTATTTCACTCACAATGTCCTTCAGGTTCAACCATGTTGTTGCCAATGATGAGATTTCCTTCTGTTTTCAAGGCTAAATAGTATCCCATTGTGTATATTACCCCACATTTTCTCTACCCATTCATCCGTTGATGTCCAGTTAGGTGGATTCCATATCTTGGCTACTGTGAATAATGCTGCAATGAACAGAGGAGTGCAGATATCTCTTGGACATACTGATTTCATTTCCTTTGGATATAAACCCAGAAGTAAGATTGTCAGATCATATGGTGTTCTATTTTTAATACTTTCAGTGAACTCCATACTGTTTTTCATAATGGTTACACTAATTTACATTCCCACCAACAGTGTGCAAGGATTCCCTTTTCTTCACATTGTGGCCAGCACTTGAAATTTCACTTTTTCATGTAAATACTCTAATTACTAGTGATATCTCCCACTAACGACATTGCCCTGAACATTAACTTTTCCCAATGCTTCACTTGACAAAGCACAGTTCTGTTTCCTATGTACTTTCTTCCAAAAGCTAACAATTTCCTGCCAATAAACTCTCCTCCCTATAAATCAGCTAATTCTGGTAGAAGGGATATAGCAAGCACCTAGGGAATGAGAGTGAAATAGCAAAGTCTCCTTTTCACCCTCGTGCTGAGGTATGTATAGAAGGTGTCAGTGACAATGAGAATTCATTTGGAAAGTGACTCTATCTTAATCACTCATAACCTCCCTAATATGCAATCTTTCCCTTTATATAAGACTGAAAGCCCGATATTAATAATACCTGGCATTCAATCTATAGCTCAGTAATCATCTTTTGAGTGAATGAATACACAATATATAATCATATGCATTGTGGTTTCTTTTTTGTTTTTCTTCAGTAAATTCCTTTAGAGGCCAGCCCTGGAAAGTAGCCCACAGAGTGGGGTGCCGAAAGAAAAGGCAGCTTACTTCAGCTTCCTTGCTTTCTCATCAGCTGCCTGGAGCTTCCTCAGCCGCATCCTTTCTCTTGGCGTCATTTTCTGCACTTCAGACAGCACCCTCAGAGTGTGTAGGTGGATCTTTTTTTGCCTATAAATAATAAAGATTTCCCACATGCAACCCATCCCAAACATGCTCAGAAAAATTAAACAAATATTTTATAAAACTATCATTATACTACTGAGAGCAAAATTATCTCCAGACAAGCCAGGCAAAAACTAATAAGCTCTGGGTAGGTAATGAGCCAACCAGGACTGCAGTTAATCAGCAGTATTTTTCAAATTTGATTTTTGTTTAAAAGCAAATTATGTACTCTCCAAATTTCTGCTCATTTCATTGCCTATAACTGGTTTTCATAATGTAAGGCAAATTAGGATCTTGGCCATTAGAGAATAAATAGACTGACAGAGTAATTCCACAATGTGGATAAAGGCACACACTCTTTGGAGTTAGGCAGGGTTTGAATCCTACCTCCACCACTCATTAGCTCTATAGCCTTGGGCAAGTAACTGAACCTCTCTGAACTTCAGTTTTCTCATCTATAAAGAATGGGCTACAGTGAATGTTATATGAGATAACATATGCACAGTGACTGGCACATAAAAAGCATTCCAAAATGGTAATATTGTAATAACTAAACCTTGTTGACTATGGTGTATATTCCAGGTTTAATACAGTGAATATTTTTATGGCAGCGTGGTATAGTGGTTAATCAAACCAGTTAACAACACTCTCTAGATTCAAACCCTAACTCCCAGGTTACACTCTATATGACCTTGGGCAAAGTTAGTTAACTTCTCTGTAACTATTAAAAACAAATAATTGCTACTTGATAGGGTTGTTCTACATTTAAATAAATTAATTTATGTGAAGAGCTTATAACAGAGCAAAGCATATGGTCATTACCCACCAAAATGTTCACCAATATTATTATTTAAGAACCTCTTTTCAGTTAAAGAAATATGCTTACATTAACCATGCATTGAAAAGACTGCAACCATATTCTCAATGACATTTGCTTTTGGTCCTGACTTATTTGGGGCCCAATACCACAGAACATTTTTTGCACTCAACTCCTTCCTCAAGAAACACTATGAGAAAATTGTTATGACCATTGTAGGCAGTTCTCATCCCTCTGCAATACCGTGCCGACCAGAGTCTCTAGGACATGCAATTTTTAGGAATATATATTCTTTATTTTGACAGACCAAATAGATCTCCTTAAAACATAGTCATAGATCTCGAAAATAATAGTGACTATTTGAAATCAATATTTCATAACGTGAAATATCCTCCAAACAACTGGATTATAGTACACTGTTAATTGTAAACAGTATCAGGCAAACTGTTTCACAACTGTAGTGCAAAATGATAGCTACAATTAGTCCAGCATTTTTAAAATAAGATATCTACTATTCTGAACATCTCTAGTTAATAAAATAAAATAAAATTAGAAATTTCAACCTTTCTTGAAAGAATAGATAGTAACCCAAGAAAACCAGTTTATTAGGAGCATGTGTAAAAATTTACTCCCTGAGGTGCAGGATATCTGCACTGGAGATCATGCATTAAACAAGACTGGATATCTTTAATGGGCCGGCTTCCTCACTTTGTATGTGAAGACAGAAAACAAACACGGTAGAGCTGAGAAACCACTGGACTGGGTGTTGGAGGAGTATATTCGTGTTAGATCAGCCTACTGAGGTCTCCTGTTCTCACCCTATACCTCCATAAAGGAATTGCCATTTTCTTTGGGTCCTTATAAGATTAAATAGATAGTTCCTTCAGCAAAATTATAGATTTGGTCTTTACAAGTAATGTGCCTGTAGTTGTGCAGTGCACAGTCCACACAGGTGTACATGGATGTTCTAAAGTAACCTAATATTCTGGGCTTTTGCAAGTTATAGCACAAAAATTTTGAATTAGGCAGGAGAGAGAAGTTAGGACAGAAAATAATTATGGTTCTTTGGGAAGCACTCTTTAGTTCTTATATGAGAGGGTGTATATTTCAAGAAAGTGAATTTTGCCTTTTCTCAATTGTCCCAGGACTCCACAATGTTCTCTTTTCAGTAGGCACTCTGTCAGTTCACGTTAAACAAACAACATGTGAAAGCCATTTATGCTTATTACGGAAGGCTCATTAGCATAAATATTACTAAATGCTTGAAATATTAATTTCTTTATATATTTGCAAAACGACCGCAGAGCTACCCTGCAGATCTGTAAGCCGTGCAGTGGTTTAAACTTTTATGATTTCAATTTGCTACCACCTGGGGCAAAGGGCTTTGGAACACCCCATTACTGCAGCTCCTAATTTCTTGGCAAGACTTAAGTGAATTCTAAGATACTCCATGCAGTCGGCTTAGCACTAATAGATTTTTAAAGACAAATGCATTTAACATTTACGCTCCATGGACTTTTTAAAAACAAAGCAATTACTTACATGGCATTAATTATATGAGCGGCCTCCTTCTGACAATTCAAATTCTTATCTTCCAGAGTCATTTCTGAATATCTACACATCAGGTGCTGAAAAAAAGATCAACCCTGACAAACCTTAAAGACTCCTCTTCAGGGAGGAAAGGGCATAAAATTACCATGTGTCTTTCTGATTTGGGGTATTATTGACCATGGCCGGGAGCTTGAAAACAAAGCACACAGTAACAATTTTTCCCTTTATAAAGGATTACATAAAATTACACAATAGCTTATGCAAGAAGATCCTGCAGGGTCAAGCTACTGCCTACCTTCCCTCCTTCATCTTGCGCTGTTTGCTTTCTCACTCCCTTTTGCCAGCCATGGGCAAGTCTTCTCTCAACTCCAAGAATACACAAGCTTTTTCCCACTGAAACAATCCTTTATAAAATTAATAAAGGGTTGCAAGGTGGGAACTGTGGTAGAGGCCTGAACTCTGCAAAGGTATACACATAGTTTAAAAAATAACCAGCCATTGTTCCCTAGCTTGCTTTCTCAGGAGTCACATAGCTGATAGTCATAAAGATTCTTAGCTTTCTTAATTGTTCCCAAAGATAAAATCACCCTTATGAAACCTAAGGCTGGTCTTTGAGATATCTTCCAGGGCCCTCGTTCCAGTGGACTGACTGACCCAATCAGACCAGTGGCCCATACCAAGGAACTTACTTAACTGGTCTTGCAACCCCAATCCAGGAACTGACTCAGCACAAGAAGACAATTTCTGCACCCCTATGATTTCAAGCTGAACCCAACCAATCAGCAATACTGATTCCATAGCCCCCTGCCCACCAAACCATACTTAAAAACCCAAGCCTCCAAATTCTCAGGGAGACAGATTTAGGAAATTTCTCCCATCTGTTCACTTGGCACCCTGTGACATTAAACTCTTTCTCCACTGCAACCCCTGCTGTCTCAGTGTATTGGCTCTTCTCTGTGTAGTAGGCAACGCAACCTGGCTGTGTGGTAACACCATCTCCCAGCCTATAATGGACAATGTCTATACTTGCAAGGCCAGGATTAAGGTTAGGCAAGTGAGGCATTCACCTCAGGTGCAAAATCTAAGGGGCACCAAAAAACTCAGTAACCAAGATAAATACTATTTTTATACAATATTGTTTTTGTCAAAATTAATGCCAAAAAGCTATAAAGAACGCAATATCAAAAGTTTAAACAAAGACAGGATCCAACCCTGAACTTGCACAATTCCGCCTCATGTGTCTCACCCTAATCCTGGCCCTGGTGGATCCTATCTTTAGACTTTTGATACTTTGTTACCAGAGACTGTTAGCATTCATTTAGATTTTTTAAATATTTCATTAAAATAAGATTTATCTTGATTATGAGTCTTTGGGGTCCCCTTACATTTTGCCCCAGGGCGAGTGCCTCACTTGCCTCACCCTGGTCCCAGCAGATCCTCTTGGATCCCTTTGGACTTTTTTTCCCCTTTAGTACACTTACAGCCCCTTATGTACACGCTTGCATAAGAACCCTCTTCTCTAGGTTTGCCACCAGAGAACACGATCTAATCAGGGCCTTTGTACCAGCTATTCCCGGTGATGCAAACACCGTTTCTGAGGCTCTTACCTGGTTGGCTGCTTTCCATAGACTTGCTGGTGTTGAAACGTCACCTACTCCTTTGGCTACTAAAGCCTCTCTGCCTCCCTTATTTTACAGTATCCTGTTTACTTCTTTCCTAGTGCTTGTGATATAGTTATTTTTTTTTATTATTATTTTGTAGAGATGGGGTCTGGCTATGTTCCTAGGCTGGTCTCAAACTCCTGGCCTCAAACTATCTTCCTGCCTCTGCCACCCAAAGTGCTGGGATTACAGGCATAAGCCAATGCACTTGCCCTAGTTTATTTATTTGCTTATTTTTTTCTTGGTTATTGGGTTCTCTCACTAACAGCCAACCCTCAAAATAACAGGAAACACATCTGTCCCTTTCGTTTTGGTGGCCCCTGTGTCAGCACAGTGTCTGGCACTTAACAAATGAGTACACGTCGTCATCATCTTTGTTTCCTTTGGATTTAGAACTTAGCTGATGAAAAGGCATGCACATTTTTGAAAGTGGATGATTGATGGCTTTGTGGTTCCTCTTAAAGCTATGCGTAAAAGTAGAGGAGACTTGCCTGAGGGATTTGTATTGTAAAAGCCTGAAAAGTTAAAAAAAACAAAACAAATCGTCCAGAAAACAGATCACTTGCTTCTTTCTTACCGTGTAAGGCAGATCATCTACATTAAATTTTCTAATTTGTAGAAAAACAAAATAAACTTATGTAATCAATGAAAAACTATTATTAAGATATATAAAAAGAGATTGGAAAAATAAAAGCTCAATGACAATCCTAGATTTTAGTATTACTATGGTATTACTACATTCTTATCCTAGTACTGATACATTTACGAAGTGTTAAGATAAGATCTGTCAACAAGAACTTTAAGGGTGGAGGTTGGATTTAGGCAGAAAAATCAGAACCCTAACTTTCCGATTCCATTGTGACCAGGGAACCGGAGTTCATGTACCTGCTTCTGCAAGGAGACCATCCTGACTAATATCGTCTCAGCTTCTTTTTAATCGTGTTCCTCCTTTCTGGCTGATTCTTCATTCATCTTACCGCACAGTACACCTTCAAGTCACAGGATGTGCATAAATGCTAATGCCTGTTTCCCCACATCCCTTTCATTTTAAATACCTGTAGCTGTTCATCAATGTAAGGAATTTTCAAAATTTCCAGAGCAGATGGTCTCAATGAAGGACTCTTGTTCAACATGCTGCAATGTTTAAAAGAAAATTATTTTTCAAATGAACTAAAATATAAGCACAATTTAAAATTATTTCTGTGACAACTTATTTATTTCCATACCTTTCCATAATAGCATTTAGTTCTCTTGGATATCTCTCGGGGAGAGAAGGTGTGTCGCCTTCAACAATTTTTAAAACAATGGACAAGAAATTGGAGCCAGTGAATGCATGATTCATGCAGCACATCTCATATAAAATGCATGCCAGCGACCTGAAGACAAAGTCAAAGAATTTAAATAAGGAACAAATGTCCTATTTTTAAATTTGTTCATCATGTAAAACCTCAGATGTGTTGGGGCATTGGCTTTGAGGCACTACCATACACTTCAGTTGTTGGTTTAAAAACTGCAGTTCCACACTGTTATTTTCCATTTAAATACATGTTTACAAAAAAAAAAGTAAAATAATAAAGCACAATGGTAAGTCTTAATGATTACTTTTTGTTTAAAAAGAACTGTGGTATATGTATACCATGGAGTACTATTCAGCTTTAAGAAACA